TGGTCCGGTTACTTTGACGCTCAAGCTAGAGAATATTGAAATTTAGACTCTGAAACATTATTTCCTGCATTCAGAGGTGGAATGCAGCTAACCTGATTATGGGGAGTATGTGTGATGGACTAGAGGTGGAAATGTCATAAGGAAGACATGAGATGATATTTAGGTTCAATATATAGATTAATTCAGATAATCAAAGAGTAGAACTTAAAGGAAAAGTCGCTCATATTCAGAATTCAAACTTCTGAAAGTTCTTTAAATATGAAATTATTCCATCCTGTTCAATAAATGATCAGTGTTTTTAATTCAGAGTAATTTTCATGTGAATGTGCTTTACTGGAGGCATCCATGTTTGTCAAAGAACACTACTGCCACCTACTGGTTAGTGACGTCACGGTGCGGTATCGGCTGTTGATCAAGTCCCAGTGCTGTATCTGGTGTTTGTCACAACGCGCTATTATCCAAGTCATCTTGAAAACATTCTTCTTCCAAATGTTGGCTACATATTACGGGTTTTTTCTCTGGCCAGAAGTTCGATGGCAAATCCTCCCTCTTCAAGATGGCGATCCAACGACCAACCCGTCCGTGGAGGATCAGGAATCAGAAAGGGGAAATAACTCTTTTTTTCACTTTTCCCCGATGTATTCCAGCATCCAGCTGCCATGCACGTGGGCATTGTCAGTTTCACTATAGCTCTGGTGAATTTCAATAGTGAAGTCCTCTGGAAATCTTCAATAATTGTTGTTGATTGCAGATGTGTCTAGTAGTTCCCATTGATTTAGCTTGTAAAGCGGGGAGAATGACGCTAGGCTTACCGCACCGTGACGTCACTGCTGGAAGATGGCAGGAGGGAGGGGTTACTATATTTGGTGATTGTAAAGAAAATTATTGTTTTAATATTTTTTCTGATTAACGCTAAATTCATTAAATTACCGAGAGCATATTAGTTTTAGGTATAAATAATGATCCATTGATTATTCCTCGCTGACCAAACTTTTCCTTTAAACTTTGTCCTAAGGATGAAACTTGATTATTAAATAAACAAGAAGTTGAACAACAATGACTGAATCAGTCTTCAAACAATCAGAGGAGAAAATGCAGCCAGGACAGCTTTTATTTCTGTCCGTCTACTCTGTTAAGGATCCAACTGAAACTAATCTGAAACTTCATTGTCACAAAAACTCTCTCCAATAATCCTGTAGTTTTCGTAAACTTTTCAAAGTTTCATCCTAACCTGCTTTCAAACAGCACAGCTTGTTTCCACAGGAGAAGTTTTCTGTAGGGACATTAGATATTCCAGAGGGAAATTATGCTGTACCAAAGCTGTACATCCCAAAAACGGTGTACAATTTCTAATATTTGTAGTAAAGAACGTACAATGTAAGCCCGCACACATTGCTAGATAAAAGCCTGGTTCATCAGGATTATAATCCCACTATAATCTGCAGTCCTTGTTGGGAGCTGCAGACCTCCAGCATCCCGCCGGGAGGCAGCGCTGGGAATCCCTGCTGAAAGCTCTCTGCTGCAGGCAGCCTGTGGGGGATTTCCTGCTGCCATTCGTAGCGGTTGGAAGGGAATAAAACGTTTTTAAGTTTGAGGTAAAAACTACAAGAACCAGAATATATAATCTAATATTTTTCATCAGCAGGTTTTAACATTTCTAGTTAATCTGGGTATTTATAACCTGTTTCTCTATAGTTCATAAAAATGTTGTAGTGCAGCAATAATGATCAGAGCTGCTCTCTGTTCCTTCTACATAACAATCCATTCTACCTGCTTTATTTAACCTCTGGAGTTAAACTCTTTGATATTTCTTTCTTTTTCATCTGAAGAATGTCTGCAGAAGCGAAGACAGCTGCCAGGTAGTGTCTGTCTCAACCAAAAACCTCCTGGATCAGCTTCTCTGATTGGTTGACACTCAGTGTGACACTCACTCTGATGCTAGAACGCTCAGATGCGCTGTTGGTCCTCTTGATGCCGTTCCCCATAGACTTTGCATGTAAAACGGACACTTTGAAACAGAAAATGAAACCGTGTGAACGCAGCACAAGATCAAGTTGTATGTTTATGGGGATCTTTTTCCACAATTAGACCTTGGTTAAGTGGTTGATTGATTAATTGATTGATTTCACAGATTATATATATATATATATATATATACAGTATATACAGTCTGTCCACATATGACAGATTTTTTACTTATTTATTTTTATTTTTTTTTTATGAAAAAATTCAGATCATCCTGAGCTATCTCTATAGTTCTGCTGCTATAGGCTTAGACTGCTGGAGGACATAGGGACCCCTTTTTCATCATTCTGCTTCATTCTATCTCTATTCTCCCACTCTGCAGAATCTGTTAGTTCAATCTCTAACGTTCTGCTCTCTCTGCTTTTTCTCATAGTAGCTTCATCTGGTCTGTTCCTGTTTGGCTGTGACTCCATCCTGGAGAGAATGCAGATGGCCGCTCACACTGAGCGTGGTTCTGCTGGAGGTTTCTTCTAGTGTTGCACCGATACTAGTATCTAGCGGGGCCCCAATGCAGCACTAAAATAGTGGTATCAGTATCGGCGAGTACCAACAAATAGGGCACTGATACCATATTGAGAGCCAAAAGTTTATTCAACTATAAAAATCAATAAAAAGTTCTACTGGATTCACTTTGTATTAGTCTTTTTCCTGCTTCACAAAGGTAGGCAGCAGCTTGAAAAAGAAATGATGGCAATTATTTTACATCCAAGTAGTATGCAGTTCTTCATATATACACATCAATTTCAAACTGATGGTATCGGTATGGTGTCTGTATTGGCGAATACTGCTTAGCCAGGTATTGGTATCGAGACCAAAAAATGGCATCGCCGCAACACTAGTTTCTTCCTGTTCAAAGGGAGCTTTTCCTCTCCACTGTCGCTACATGCATGCTTAGTGTGAGGGATTGCTAAAAAGTCAACAAGTCGATGCAATCAGCTGGTTTCCCTTAGAAAACTTTTATTAAATCTGACTCGATGATCTGGTTGAACTGTAAAGTGCCTTGAGATGACGTGTTGTGAATTGGCGCCATAGAAATAAACTGAATAGAATTTTGAACCAATCTGACTGGATGATCTGGTTGAATTGTCTCTGTAAAGTGGCCTAAGATGATAATGATGCTATAAAATAAACATAATTGAATAAAGTTGAACATGTGAAAGTGCAGGATTAAGGTGTTACTATATTTGGCCAGGTTTGGAGTTATTCAATAATACATGTTTTCAGTGAAGGCATCATAATGCATTCAGATGCCTTTCCCCCCCACCGGCCTCCATGTTTGCCGTTTTCTCTTTGAGGTGTTTTACAATGAGGTAAAATCCATCCTGTTTTCTGCCTGTGGGTTACATCCTCTCTGAAGGTTAATAACCACCCCTGAATATCTGGCTCCCTGAGATCATCTATCAGATTGTGTTCTCTGCAGCCTCAGAGGGCCGTACACTTTTCTCATTTCAGCAGGGGGCTGTGAAGTGAAGTGCCTCCAGAACTTTGCCTAATGGCTTATTTTGCTCTCAGATTTAGTTATGGCTTATTTCTGCCCTTGGCTGCTGGGTCTAGGTTGCTGTTTAGTAACAGACATGAATACTTAATAAATGCTGTATTGTCCCTGGAGCAGCAGCAGACTAACAGGGAAGTCTTTTTCCTCAGTCTTCCATCTTCTTCTTGGATCCATGCTGCAGCTCGCTCATGGTTTGGAGAAAAAGAAATAAATGCTGCTTTTAGGAGACAAACGATGAAAAATCTTTCTAATTAAAGAAGCACATCTCTTATTAAATTAGCTACATTATTCTCCTTTATACTTTATTTGTTAAATGTCTTCTTCGATGGAGGTAAACATGATTATGTGGTTTGGAGCCATATTCATGGTTATTTAGCTTTTTAAAAAAAAAGAAAAATAAGGCAGTTATTTTTTCCAAGTCATTTTTTCACTATCATTCATTTATAAAAATCAGAATTCAAAACTAAATATTTAGGTTGTCACAGTTAAAAAAAACTGTCAGCAAGCTAAAGATTTACTTTAAAAACTAAATACTTAGTTTGTTAAATAAATAAACGAAATATTTAATTGACAATATAGGTAGCACCTATCTAGCTAAATATTTAACTAGCTAGCTGCTAGCTAAATACTTTTTTAAATAGATGTTTAGCTAGCTGCTAGCTAAATTCTTAGTTTGTTAAATAAAGATTTAATTTAGTTTGTTAAATAAACAAAATATTTATTTGACAATATGGCTAGCACCTATCTAAACATTCAACTAGCTAGATGTTAGCTAAATGCTTAGTTTGTTAAATAAATATTTAATTTAGTTTGTTAAATAAATAAACAAAATATTTTATTGACAATATGGCTAGCACCTATCTAGCTAAATATTTAACTAGCTAGATGTTAGCTAAATGCTTAGTTTGTTAAATAAATATTTAATTTAGTTTGTTAAATAAATAAACAAAATATTTAATTGACAATATGGCTAGCACCTATCTAGCTAAACATTTAACTAGCTAGATGTTAGCTAAATACTACATTTGTTAAATAAATATTAAGCTTCAAACTAAATATTTAGTTTGGAACTTTTATTTTTAATAAATGAATGAATGACATAGTTGGAAAAGGTAACTTTGTTATCGTTCTGTTAAAACAGGCTCAATAACCAGTTTTTGACTGCTTGTCTTTGCAAACGGGACCACATACATGATCTGTGTGGAAACAGAGCTCAGCTTTAGCCTCATTAAACAGGAGTTCAGCTCCATGTTTTTTGGTCCAGATCAGCTTCCGTAGTTCCCATTGACCAGGATCAATAAACAAGTCATTTCCTTTAATGTCAATCGATCCCTCAGCAGCATTTCTATCCATCATTTAAAGAACTGGATGCTTCAGGATCATTTTTAGAGGCTCCCTGATTGGTTTGAAATAAAAATGGCTCCTTTTAATGTTTAATGTCATATTAGGGATTAAATGATATAATCTGTGTGTTGCTCAGGCTGTTTGGCGTAACGGGAAACTGTGCAGCCTGCAGCAAGCTGATTCCAGCCTTTGAGATGGTGATGAGGGCCAAAGAGAACGTCTATCATCTGGACTGCTTTGCATGCCAGCTCTGCAATCAAAGGTAAGATGATGGGATGCTACTGCTTCTAAATCCACCCACCCACCCCCCCAACATCAGCCGTTACCCCACCAAACCCACCCCCACCACTGGATCTGTGGTGTTTCTGATGAATACTGTTAAAGAGGGGAGGAGCCATTGGTTAATATATTTAATTAGTTGATTGATTTCAAATCAAATGTTTATCGTCTTTACAAAATGTACAAAGAAATGTATGGTAATATTTAGTGATCCTTAAAATGAAAGACGTGTCTGAAGCTATTTTGATTTGAACCGCTGTCTGTGTGGTTTTATGGAGGAGGACAGTGACTGGGAATAGACATGTCGATGGGTTCTCACTGCTTTGATTGGAAATATCTGTAATAAAATGCTCTCTCTAACTGAAGGATCACTTTGCCTCCATGTTAGGAAGTGAAAAGGCCTTTTATTCTGACAGAGAGTTGAACGCCATCCTAGAATAGTAGAAAGGTTCTGATATCAACGCTCTAAACAGGAAGGTTCATGCTGTTCAGGTTATTACTGTATGTTAATGAATGTGAAGAAAACAGGTCGTCTGCGTGTGTGTCACGGTGAACGCAGTCAGTGCCGCAGACAGGAGGCCTCTGATTGGTCAATTCTCCATCCGCTCTACACCATGCGCATTTCCTGTTTGGTTCCTTACCGGCTAGTTTTCTTTGTATGACCGCCATGGTGGAAAAGGACTGCTGAAGATGGAGCGGCTAGCAGAGCGAGGTGTGTGAGAACGCTGGGACCCTTTGTCCACCTGGATCCCCGCTCGTTTTGGCCCTCATGTCCCTCCGTTGTCGGCAGACTGCCCCCACTTCCTCACCGCCTCGGCCGTATCTAGACGCACAGCTAGTTCATGATTGTCTCTTTGCGTTGTGTCTTGGAATAACAGCACAGACCACGCTTCAATATTGAGCATAAATCAGAAATATCTGCATCACAAACTGCTGCAGGAGGATAACCAGCTGGTTAAAGGCTCACTACTAGTTTAATTTTAGTAAGGATGATTAAATTTTGCAAAAAATACAGAGTAATGGTCAATAAACGGTAGAAAATGTAAATACAATATAATACAGGGAGATTTCAAACATGTTTGCAGAAAAACACTCTAATAATCAACACTCTATGCATGGAGGGGAATGTTAGCATGGGCGGCCTGAACGCTCCTCTAGAAATGATGATGTGTTGCTGCCATCTGGGGCTTTGATTGCAGCTCGTAGCGTTTATCACGTTCTTGGCCGCCGCTTAAAGCAGAACGAAGGAAAAGACGCCTTGATCTGTTGCCGCTTTGCTTGGAGATCCAGGGACCAATTTACCTTCCCACACTCCTCTGTTCTCTTTGCTGAGCCGTGCTGCAGGAGCCATGCTTCTCCACCGCTTTGATTCTATGGAGGGTTTGCCGAATCAAACGGCTTTGCAGCTGCCGAACGCAGCCAGCTGATTGATCATCTTTTGCTGCAGGACCTGGTGCTTTTACTGGGAATGCACCAGTTCCTGGAGTTTTAGCTTAGGAAGTTAAAGTTCTCTGTAAGTTTGATCTAAAAGTATGAAAGTCTCTACAGTTTTATGTGTTTATGGAGGATTGTGGTGAGTAGAAGCGTTTAAATCAGTCGGGTTTAATGGGGAGCCGGCGTATCAGCAAAAATAAGGAATCTGACTGTAGTTTTCCATCAATAATCAACAGTAAGCATCAGCCACAATATGAAAAAGGAACTTTTTAAAAACATACTAGTCTGGAACATTTATTGTATTATCCCCATGTGGTTTAACTTCTGTTTCATGAAGCAATAAAAAGGCAGGCTGGTTATTTAAACACAAGTTTTTGAACAAGAGATAAAAAACTAAATTTGAAAGAAAGCAAAACACTAAAAAGTCGCCTTAAGTTTGTTTAAATATCTCTGTTAATTCACCATCATTTGTCCTATTTTAGCGTCACACTGAGGACCGCCTGTTGCAAACTGAGGACTTTTTGCTACGTGTGTGTGTGTGCTTGTTTATGTTACCTGCTTAGGAACATTAGGGGAATATTTACCAACCTTCTGAGGACCAACAGGCCGGCTCCAAAATGAACTTTTTGATCCATCGCCCAAGTGGACTGGAAGACGAAATTATTTCCTCTCATGTATGTTTTAAGGAACATATTATGTCTCTAAAGCATTATGTTAAAGGTCTTCAACAGGGGGTATGCGACCCCTAGAGGGTCTACAGAGGTACTGCATGGGGGTCGCAAAACTTTAGGCTGAGTAGACATTTTTTTTTGCAATTTTTCCACTAATTGAAATGTCTTTAAATCCACGTTAACATGAATTCATCACGCTGTAGTGAACAGATCAATGGAGGCAGAAGATGTCTTTCAGTCATCAATGCACACATTCAGTGACACACAGGAGCTCTTTCAAGCTGGACACCGTTTCATTCACAACACCTGTCCCATCAACCAGGAATCAGAAATACTTTGATAATCCCAGGGAGGGATTACTTTAGTTACATTACTCCATCTGTAATAGAGTGACTATCACTTTGGGGCCCTTGGCCAGGAAAACATTGAAGACCCATTGTGTTAAATGAAAAACAAAGTTACAGTGAAAGGTAATCCAGTTTCATTAAATATATTTGTAATTTAGTATTTCATTCAAAAAAGTGCAAAATACTTTTATCTGATAGATTGACCATAAATAAAACCATTAAAAAAACAGCAAATAATTTTCATTTGTTATATTTGTTATATAGATCATCTTTCTTCCAGCGGTATGAGTAGTCATACAGTCTGTCCATCAGTTCCACTGAGCCTGACATGAACGTCCAGTGAACGCAGCATTTAGTGCGTCTGTGATGCTCTGCGGTTTGATAGGCTGACAGCGACAGATGAACTACACTGCGCACTAATCAGCTCATTAGCTTAGCATCATCATAAACAGTGTTGTTTCTTATACTTAGTCTTCAGGATGAAAAATATTAATAGTTTTAGTCAATTTTAGGGACTAAAACTCAAAAAAGTTTTAGTCAGTTTTATGTTGCAAAACAAAAGTGAACTTTTGGAATAAGAACCAGATTCTTTCCCAGACTGACAGCTCTATCCTAGATGCTACAGTAGCTGGGTATAGAGTGCTGCCGTGCAGATCATCATTGCTGTTGGACAAAAAACTTTGATTTATAGAATTCAAATAAACTTTTTTTTTTTTATGAATTAAAGCTCTACTTTATACAACAATGTCTCAGAAAAGTTCAGCTCATCCTATTGGTTAATCTAGCAGACAGACAAGCTAACAAAATGTCCAATAAAAAAATAGTTTTAGACATCCAAGGTTTCCATCCCAAAGCAAACACTTCCTGATCTGATTCTGCATTAAACACAGATCAATAAAATCTGCATTACTCAAAAAAACAAAGAACAAAAACATTCTTCTCTCTATTTTTCTGCTCAGGGGTCAAAGTGGATTTATATTCATAGGTTTTGATATAAAAATACAGAGAGAACCTCCATAATTATAATGCTATGGCAACCAAGACCTAAACTGAATGAATATGCTAATTAGAATGTAGAAAAATGTTTTATTGGCAAAACAAGGAAACAGAAATATCATATTTAAATAGACAGAAACGAGAACAATGAGAGAAATATTCATCTGGATCTTTATCTAGAAATAAACAGAATGCAATGAAATATTTGCTTTGGGTTTAATTTAGGGATTCCTTAAAGAAGGTTTAGCATCGCCTCATGAGCTGGAAGAAATAAAATCTTTATAGTTAGATAAAGCAATTTTTTATGCTTTGCAGAGGAAACAAACAGTAAAGCCAGTTTAACCAGTGTTCTGTCAGATCAGCACACCTATTGTCAATATGGATGTGCAGGACCTCAACTTTACATTTATCCTTTGAGTTTTGTATGAAGGTGGAATGATTGAGAGGGAGAGACATGCAGCTGAAAGACCACAGGTCGGATTCGAACCCGGGTCGGCCATGGCGAGGACTAAGGCCTCCATACATGGGTCATTAACCACTGCACCACCTGCAGACACTATGTACATAGACTTGGACTTAGACAGATTCTATTTTGTCATTTTGTACACACAAGTGTAGACCAAAAAAAAAATGTAGTTAAGAACAGCATCTAGACTATTTCCTTTTTTAAAGTGCAGCCATGATAAGGTAAGCAGCACTGATGAAAACATTGTGATGAAAAACAGGGATGTAAACATATGACTGTATAGTTACTAGGGATGCACGATATTGGGATTTTGGCCGATATCCGATATGCCGATATTTTAAAACTCATGTAGCCGATAACCGATATCGATACCGATGTTAAAGCTGGACAAAAATAAGTAGTCATTGAAAATAGCAGTTTTGTTATCCATTTCTGACACTTTGAAAAATAATATACTCAAATATATTTTCATATGCTGATATCAAATAGATTTTTAAAAACGCGGTATCGATCTATTTTACTTTCAAAATCTCGTGAAATTTCATCGTTCTGTTACAAACTCTCGTGATATTTTGCAAATTCTTGTGAGATTTTGTTAGTAAAATAGATCGATACCGCGTCAATATATCAACATATAAAAATATGGCAACATTTGGTGAATTTTCGGGGGATTTCGTAGCATAACGATGACATATAGCAATATTTCATTAGTAAAAGAGATTGATATGGTGTTTTTAAATGGCAATATATCAGCATATGAAGATATTGGGATATTTTAATGTATCAATATTTTTTCCCTCGTCTTTAGAAGTTTTTAAGTCTGTAAAAAAGAAGTTTTTGAGGAACAAATAGTAGTATGTTTTTTTAGACTTTAGAAACTTAGAAGCTGATCAAATATCGGGTTAAATATCGGGCGATGTCCGATATTCAGTTTTAAGGCCGATATCCATAGGGGCCGATTATATCGCGCATCCCTAATAGTTACAGTTCTGACACCTAACATTCATTCAGTAAACATTCTTTGTTTTTGTTTGTTACCCATTTTACGCATGCTGGTCTGACGGTGTATGCTCATCTGACAGAACGCCGGCAGCCATGACAGACTTTATTGGAGCTGAGCAAATCTGAACTCAATGAGAGAAGAAAAGCGTTTCCAAATTTAAGGTTTCATTTTCTCATTCAGAACTAGAATATTTCCTCTTCCCGTCTCCACACTGTAAACTAAGGATAGATCCGTCTGTTTCCTAAGCCCTGGGAATAGATCCGTCTGGAATTCCTCTCTTAAATCTTCTGTTTTTAGGTTTCAAATATCCAGGATTAGCATATTTTGTAGCCAGGTTAATAAAGTGGAATCCTCTAAGCTGTTAGCCACGGATCAGCCCTGGGGACAGCTAATCGATGAAGCTGTCCTCCAACCTTATCATCCAGCCTCATTCCCCCTGAAGGCACAGAGGAGCTGCAGGGTGGAGGTGGGTGTAGGAGGTATCCCAGGAAACTAGGCTCTGACAGCAGGAGGGAAACATCAGTGCTGCTGATGGAGGGAGATTTTTACTCCAAATCAGCTCAGCAAACCGAACGGATGCTGTTTGTTTGGGCTGATGATCCTCTGCATTAAATATCTGGTAGTCTAGCAGTACAGGGAGATTGATGTATCATTTAAAATGTCGTAATCATGGCACAGCAGCTCCTTGAAATGATCATGTAACCAGCACCTCTGAAAGATGAAGGAAATCCAGAAGTATAAATATAGCAAAGAGCAGCTGCAAAAACAGCTGAACCTTCATAAAGTCACTGCTGAGTTTGCTGCAAAAGCAAAGACAACACTGCTGAGTGTTCATGGAAGAGTCCAAATAAAAGTTCCTCTTCATCGTTCAGTTCTGTGTTTATCCAAACGCCGACTCAGCTGGATTAAATCTGGAACAAATCCCAGATTTTCTCCACCTCAGAGCAGTTTTCTCCTTGAACCCCAGTGGGCCTCAGCAGATGGCCGCTCACACTGAGCCTGGTTCTGCTGGAGGTTTCTTCCTGTTCAAAGGGAGTTTTTCCTCTCCACTGTCGCTACAAGCATGCTTAGTGTGAGGGATTGCTGAAGAGTCAATGAGTCGATGCAATCAGCTGGTTTTCCTTAGATAGAAAACTTTGAATCAATCTGACTGGATGATCTGGTGAACTGGAAAGTGACCTGAGATGACATGATGTGAATTGGCGCTATAGAAATAAACTGAATAGAAAAATTCCTACAGCTAATGTCAGACGCTGGTCCTTGTTACTGTTGGTTTTGACTGTTTAAAGCGCACCAGCAGGACTAGATGTGGATCAATATTAGCATTTATGTAATAGTTTGTTTTAATATGTATTAAATAGGATCATTATAATGTCCTCAGATACAGAATAAAGGTCATTTCTATCCTAATATCATCGTATTAGTTGTTCTGCAGACTTTAAGGGTTTAGCTCTGAGGATTGGATTCTAAAAGATTATTTTTGAAGGTTGGATCTTTAAAAAAATCCCATGTTTTTACCTGATTTTCCTGCGTTCTAAGAACAAAGGGAGAGTGGAAGGTTTAAAGTTCTTCCTCATGCGTATCCATTGAAATGAGCAGTAGGGCTAAACCGTTTGGCCAAAAATCTAAATTGTGATTATTTTTTACCCATAGTGTGATTTTCCTTTGCAATGAGTGAAACCATGTCAAAGTTTTACTCCAGGGTTCCATTTTCCATCCTGCTTTTCCAGAATCCAGAGCTGAAGAACTTTACTGTAACATCTGCATGAAAAAGTTCTTACTTCTACAATAATACATAGATCTAGGTGCTAGATGCAACTCTCTGTTCCCTTCTGTGTGACAGTAGACCCACTCTAATAGTATTACTGCCACTTAAAGAGCTGGAGGGAGAAATTTAGTGTCTTATTCTAGTTAAATGTATTGTGATTAAACACTGAGCGCCTCTGCGATTTGATTATTGCATTTTTCTAAACTGCAAATGCGATTAATTGTCCCAATGAGCAGAATCAATTCAGTTCAGTTTATTTATATAAGTCATCTTAAGGCACTTTACAGTTCAACTAGAAATATCACTGAATTTTTCCCCCTTTTTATGGAAATCTTGCATCCTGTTCCTGGAATTTGTGGATGGAATACATGTTTTAGGCTCCCAGCCAATCCATGAACTGATAAAGTTATTGGCCTGGTTTAGTGGGATGTATTAATGAAATGGACTCTGCAGAGCAATCGCTGTTCACCTGGATAACAGATCAGGATGGAGACTCCATCATGTCCTTTGATTGATTGAGAAAAAACATTCATTAGTAATAATTAGTCATAAAATGAGGGAAAATGATTCAAACTGTTTCCTCCTGCATGTTGAGTTGATCTGTTTGCAGACCAGAGGAATTCTCTTATTGCTGCTGCTGCTACCTGAAGAACGTTCATGATGGTTTCATTCTCTGCAGATCATTATCTGTTTCTGTTTTGCAGGTTTTGTGTTGGAGACAAATTTTTCCTGAAGAACAACATGATTCTCTGCCAGACCGACTATGAGGAGGGTCTGATGAAGGAGGGCTACGCCACACAGGTCCGCTGAGCGTCCAATCACGACGAGAAGGAAGAGCCCGAGTGACAGAGACAGGAGAGCATGCAATCACAGAACCAAATGCACTATTGCCTCCTGTCCAGGTCCGCTATGCGACGTGTACATAACCCGGACTCGTTCTGCTGTACAGAATGGCCATAGAGACAATGTGGCAACAAATGGTGTATATTAACATGTTTGTATATTTCATGATTTATCTCTAAAAGATGGCGGCTCTCTGTACCTGGAAAACAATAAACAGAATTTGTCCTGAGAGTGATCCCAAACAAAGCTCTGGTTCTGGTCCAGAGGTGGCTGCGGTCCTGCATCCTCCGTCTGACGCTTTGAAAACTCAAGCTTGGTTCTAAAAGGTCAAATCATGTAACTCTGAATCACAGCTGCTCTAGTTAGAAGAAAAGGACGTCTGTCTGTGAGCTGAAGTATCTCCCTTCATTTCCTCCTTTAACTCTTTCTGCTTCATTCAGACCTTAAAGACGGAACAGACCACATGAACCGGCGCTAATATCATCGTTCATCCATCTCCTGCTGCTGCCGTCATCAAACGCTTCTCCTTTCATCAGAAGCTCAAAGTTTGAACGCTATAAAATACGGTTTTGGAAGAATTCTGTCAAAACGCTAATTAGATCAAAAATGACACTGAACTATTAAGGATATTATAAGGAAAGATGAGTTTATTATTCATAATAATAAGATGGGATTTTTTTCCACCTGCTTCCTTTTCATGGACCCAATTTAGCGCCTGACTGCTAAGAAAAGGGAAGGTTTTTAACTTAAAAAGTGTTCATGGCTTCTAGGTGAACGTGTTTTGGTCCAGAACTCAACAAAGGGGTCAAATGTTTTCTGTTGTGCAGTCGTGGGTGAGCGGTTAGGGTGTCAGAATTGGATCCCAAAGGTTACCGGTTCGACTCCTGACCCGCCAGGTTGGTGGGGGGAGTAATTAACCAGCGCTCTCCCCCATCCTCCTCCATGACTGAGGTACCCTGAGCATGGTACCGTCCCGCCACACTGCTCCCTTGGGGCGCCATTGAGGGCTGCCCCCTTGCACGGGTGAGGCATAAATGCAATTTCATGGTGTGCAGTGTTCACTTGTGTGTGCTGTGTCACAATGACAATGGGAGTTGGAGGAGTTTCCCAAAGGGCTTTCACTTTCACTTATATTGGCATACTTTAATTACATTTTATTTATTTATATAGCACCAGTTCACAAAGTTTTGTTTTTTTACATTAACTATGATAAATTTAATCCCATCAAAATGAAATAGCTGACTAATCAGCTTCTTTTTTCAAACTCTGGTCTAAACTTCTGTTTTGTCTGCATTCAGAAGGAGAAAGTTAAGAATATACAGCTGGGTATCATCAGCATAACAGTGGAAATTAATCCCATGCTGTCTAATAATTCTACCGATTAGGAGCATATATAAAGTAAAGAGAATTGGTCCTAGCACTGATCCCTGTGGTACTCCACAGGTAACCTTTGAGCGTGTTGAAGATCTATCATTAACTTGAACAAACTGAATTCGATCAGATAGATAAGATTTAAACCAGTCTAGTGCTGTTCCTTTAATTCCAACAAAATATTCAAGTCTTTCTAAAAGAATATTATGGTCAACTGGATCAAATGCAACCTATTGCTTTATTAATACTGATAGTTATCTGTTAAAGCGAAACCTTCTTTTAGGGAAAGAAAATGTTACATTTAATTTGAAGGTTAGTAAAAAGTGGTCAGATCATTGCCATATGACAGTAAAAGGTCCAAGGTATGAAGATGAGAATGTGTGGGACTATTCACATTTTGAACAAAGCCAATCGAGTCTAAGATAGCATTAAAGGCTGCATTTGAGTTTCACCTAAAGGATGAATGTTAAAAACCCCCATTATACAGACATTGTTAGTATTTAACATTAAATCAAATTGGAAGTCTGGAAAGAGATCTAAAAATTCTGAGTAAGGATTTGGTGAACAATACAAATATACAATCATAGGTTGTTTTGTCTCTTTAATTGTAATTTTAGATGGGGGAAACTAAGGGTTAAATGTTCAGAATAATTGTAGCTTTTAACTGCCTTTAGAATTAATAATCAGACTGAAAGATTGTTTTTACTCCTGTTCGCCCAGGATATTTGGGCATGTAAAATATTAAATAGCTAGAGTTGCCTTATACTTGCTAACATAATCCACTTACTGCAGCCAGAGGCCCATTTCACCAAGCAGGTTTAACAAACTCTGATTCAAATCCTCAACTCTAAATTGATCTAGCCTAAGGTCAGGAAATCTGAGTTTTTGGTTTCACAACGGCTGCTAAGAATTAGTTTAATCCAGTCTAACTAGGTCCACTCAGAGTTGAACATGTACATAACAAGTATGAAAAGCCATTATCGTTGGCGCCCCGATTCAACCATGACAACAGGCAACATGAAGCGCCTATTTCACCCCACTGGATCTAGAGATTTTAATCCAGAAATAACAAATAAAATTGAGAATGTGTTTAAAAGAAAGAGAAACGGCACTACAGCTGCAAAGAAGAGGAAGATGGTTAAGTAGAAGATTGTTCCTCAAATAAATGCGTACGTTTCTATAATATGGCAGGCTGTTTTTACATCTATTTAAAGCTCTCTCCTCTCTGTTGTTCCATTTCTAGATCACTGAAATAAGATCTTCCTGATCAAAATCACACTCCTAGACTAAACTATAATAATATATTTTCTAAATTAAATTTTTGCAGAAAACTGAATTTTAGAAAGCAAAAAAAATTTAATAAATTATACTGGTAAGAATTAAGTTTTACGTACTATAATGTTTACATATTATAGATGGCCATTCTGACATTTTTCAGCTTGACTGAAAATGTATTTATGATATCTGAAATACATTTCTACATAGTCAAAATAATTGAAACAATGAACTGTATATTAGGAATACAGAGATCTGATATTAATTTCTAGACATCCAGAATGTTTATTCTAGATGTGGAAATTTGGATATTGAAATGGTCATTTAGACAAATGAAATAGTTTTTTTTTTCAGATATCAGGAATATATGTTCAGTAAAACTAATACATATCAATATGGCCTGCCATAATCTTTAGTGACCACAATAACATTACGGGATTATTTCCTAAATGGTAGTGGATTAATATATGTATTTAGGTGAAATAATCTGGCAGCAGGTGAGAATGAAGAATAAAAATGTTGTAATAGATGGAACCTCGTCGTCTCATGAGGTTCTTCTTCAGTTAGATTCTGTCCTTCATCAGTGAATAAGAGGCTGTTATCATACCAATAAATGGTTTTTATTATCACTCCCATAGAATGGCTTCAGATTGCGGTAGTAGAATCGGTAGGTGGTTAACACTGAATTAACCCTAAGCCTAAAGTGACCCCCCCCCCCCTCACACACACACAGAATTTATTAATCTGTTTAAGTGTAATCTGAAATGATTTATTGATGATGATTTATTTAGTTCTTCATGAACTGTAAAAATGAATAAATATAAATGATCCACATTTCGCTGATATTAAACAAACCAAAGAAACATAAATCTCATGTCACTGAGATGAGAATCCTCTCCCTATAAATATTAAAGTCTCTGTGAAAAAGTGCAGATCAATCTTTAATAGGATCCTCATCAGATGATCATGCAAATCCTAATGTGTCTGATGGACCTAGTAAATGATTATTTAAAAATGTTTTTATGCACAAAACTAAAACAAAAATTGTACTAGATCAGGAAATAAGACAGCAGGATTGGCTCTAAGGGGAGCAGAGACAGAGGACGCTCTGAGTTTACTGAAAAAAACCCGCTGCTGACCAGGTTAGCTCTGGGAGGATGTTACCATGGCAACAGAAACAGAGGATGAGGAAACTGTCTTTGTGAAACTGAAAACTCAGAGTTTCCCTGATTTCAGGTTTAGAAAACTTGGAGTTGTCAATAAACCTGCTTCGTGAAACGGACCCGAGGTTCCTGAGACAAAATGAATCAGTCTGGTTGTGGTAAATGGTCTGAACTTAAATAGCGCTTTTCCAAGTCATTCAGTAATTCACCTGTTTACGCACACACACACACACTGATGGTGGTAAGCTACATTGTAGCTTGAACACACAACCCATTGGCAGGGCAAACTCCTGCATCTGAGGCCACGGTCATACCAACACACATATTAAGTCACAAATCAAATCATTAACAAATAAAATCTTTGAGATATTTTGTTCATTAAATTCCATTTAATTGTTTTTAAAGTTTTGTTCAATTAGGATAATGTTAATTATTACTAGAATCTCATTATTTACTTCTGTAGGATTGTTTATTCATTTAATTGGTTTTAGTGTTGGCCATGGACACAACACTGTCATGGTTGGACAATGAATGGGTAACAGTAGTGAAGCTGCAGAGATGTGTGTTAAACTACGACTCTGCTTCCTGGTCTGAACCCTGATCTGTCAGGGATTTGGAGAACTGATAAATTCAGTCAGATTTCTAGAAAAAGAGCTGCACCATCCAAAGTGGGATGGATGCCGTCTCTCCCAATCAGATCAGGTTTTCTCCAAAAACTCATTATGCCAATCATAAAAATAGCCAACATACTTTTTAAGACACAGACAGCTTTTCAATGACGACATGCGGCTAAACATCAGATCAGGGAGGGGGCTATAGAAAATTACAGAGGCCGACATTTTTGGCAAACTTACAATCTGAATCATAAACTGATGTTCATGACCTCTGATCAGAGTAACCAGGTGTCATTACCGCCAGTGTGAATAACAATCTCACTGTATTTAACCTTATCCTTATAGCTAGTGTTGCCCCCTTAAAATAAACATAGAATACAATAAAGGGGGGTTTGACACAGGTAGAAAAGGCTCCCTGTAAATGATGCATCTCTTAGTTAAGTTTGTTTTAGGATTAAGTTGCACATGTTTAAAAGAAGTTACTTAGATGCTGCATGTGAGAACATGTTTGGGATCAGCTGGTCACTCTACCACAGCATGTCTCAGAATGAGGAGGAGGATGTGGGTTTAGCTATCAAAGCTTAGCCTGAACCTGGCTGAGGATCACATGATCAGTAATTTCCTGAACTGAGTTTAAGTTAAGCCCAGGCTTAGGCGTGTGCTGGTAATGATTAGGGTTAGGCCATAGAAATTAATGGGTCACTGGATAGGGTAATGGAAAGTGTGACACACAGGGTGTTTGATTTTAAAGGCTGCGTCCTCCAAGGACCTGGTCTACCTGGACTGGATCCTTCCAGGTCCGTGAGAATAAG